CAGATCCCATTCATACAACCACAGCCACCTTACAGTCAAGCTAGAGCCATTACCATTGTCCTATGCTTCTTCCCCACAAAACACCTGTCCCCAACCCAGCTTTACATAGCTTCCTACAAATCACTAGAGTTGTGAGCAGGGTAATCTTGCAGAAGGCTCTCTTCTATGTGTGGTCTCTTTGACTCAGTACAGGTTTTAATAGTGACTCTGGTTGCTGCCTGCAGTCGCTCACTCCTCTGTCCCCGAGCAGCATGGTGTTGCTGGTGCAGTAGCGTGAGGTAATAGACACAGCTCATGATGGGTGTGAGCACTATTTCCCATTTGAGGGCCACTGGGAATAAAGATCTTATGTGCATTCATGCCTGACATTGCTGAAAGTGTGATTTCACTTTTCCTGGATAATTACTAAGAAGTGGAATTTCTTCACATACTATATGTTTGTTTCCATGAAAAACTAACTGTTCTTCAAATTAGTTTACAATTGTTTTTCTCACCACAAATGTGAGGTGACATCCTTATCAACACCTGTCATCCCTAATCATTTTTAACTATAGTAATTCTAGGAAGTGAAATTGTTTCTTTGTGGTTTCAATTTGCATTTCCTTGATGACTAGTGATATAGATAAAGAGCCATTCTTCTACTTATTTTATAACTTTTTAAAAAGGTTTGTTTCTTTTTGTTGAGTTCTAGGAGTTCTTTGTGTTCTGGATACAAGTCTTTGTCATGCAAATTGCAAATATTTTCTCCCCAGCTTATGGCATGATCATTCATTTTCTAAGTAGTGTATTTTGAGGATCAGAAAGGCCAGTTTTACAGGGGGGCTTCCATGTGGCCCTGACGATTGAACCCAGGGCTTTGAATATCTAGACAAGAGTTTTATCACGTTGCTACATCCCAGTCCTATTAACTGGGTGAGTGATGATTGATAGGTTTTTGAAATAATGTATTTATAATTTGCCCAGGCTGGTCTTGAATTTGCAATTCTTCTACCTCAGCCTCTCGAGTACAGGAGATTGTAGACATGCACTACCATGCCAGTTAGAAATTTTTAATTTTATGAAGCTTGAATTATCTTTTTTTTCTTTTAAGATTGATGCCATTTGTACTCTCGGAGATCTCTCTCTAGTTGTAAAAATATTTCTAAATGATTTATAGATTTATGATCATTCTTGAATTAATTTTTAAATATTGCATAAGGTAGGGATCAAGTTTTTTTGATTTGGATATCCAGTTTTTTGTTTGTTTGTTTTTTGATAACACCTCTTGAAAAGATTAAGTTTTGCTCTTTCCTAACTGCTACTTTTGGACATAATTCTTCTAGACATTATTTATCTCTCCCTACAAGCTACCTGACTGCTCTGACTACTGGAGCTCTGTGTTGTCTTGACATCAGAAAATACAAATTGCCTGATTTTGTTCTTCTTCATGCAATGGTTATTGACTCTTCTAAACATTTTTGGATTACCATGTAAATTTTAGAAAACACAACTTTTTCACTTCTAATAACTGGCTACTCAGATTTTCATTGTAATGATACTGAATCTGCTAAGATCAATTTGGAAAAATCAGACATCTTATTAAATATTGAGTTACACAGTCCATTAACATAGTATATGCTACCGTTTAATTATTTTTTCAGTGACATTTTTGTGATTTTTAATCCAGGTGTATTAAATATTTGCATGCATTAATTCTACAATTGATCTATGATTGCATTATCTTAATAGTATATTTATAATGTTTGATGGAACTATGAATGCCATTTTATTTCATTTATAAATTTTTGTTGCTTCTAGTATATAAAAACAGAGGGGCCAGGATATAGCTCAGTGGCACATGTGCCTGCTTGGCAAGCACAAGGTCTTGAGTTCAATCCCTGGTATCACCAAAAAAAAAAAAAATGTCTAATAATTTTGTACCTGTAATCATGCTTAATTTTCTTATTCATGTTACTACTTCTTTGGTAGGTTTAGACTTTTTTACAGAAATAAATGTATCCTGTCTGCATGTAAAGAAGCCACTTTTCCTTTTAATCTTTGTCCTTTTGTTTCCTTTCAATTGCTGTTGCTGGGACCTCTGACAAAATGTTACATAGAATTTACGATGAGATATTCTGGCCCTGTTCACAGTCCAATGGGAAAATGCTCAGGGTCTCACCAGCAGGTGTGACATTATCTAGAAAGTTTTGTCCTGTTCCTCATATGCTGAGAAGTGTCCCCAGGTGAGTAGCTGGAAAACGGCAGTTCAAATGTGGATCTCAGGACCGGCGAGATAGCTCAGCAGACAAAGCACCTGCTTAGGCAAGTGCCCAGGTCCTGCACCCCACACCGGCCCCACCCCCAGGCTTACGGAACAAGAGACTGAGTCCAGGTGTGGTGCCCATGTCAGCACTGGGGAGGCTGAGACAGGAGGATGACTAGGAGACCCAGCTGTGTAGTGAGAAATGAGACCCTGTGCCAACACATAAAACTAAACTGAAATGTGGATCTCACCTTGCATTGTGTCCACATTTCAAGGCTTGAATGTTTACTCACACAGGTATTTTCATCAATCTCAAGAGGATAGCCCAATACAAACTAGTCCACTATTAATGAAAACTTCTATAGGCTATTTAATTTTAATTAATCATATTTTTAAAATAGATTTTTGTGAGTTCTTTCCTCAAAATCTGCTAGCTCTTTTTGAGAGCCTCTCTTTACTCATTTTCATCATGTTCTTATTTTAAAATGCATTCAATGCATTTTGGTACACTCCATATCTGATTACCTGCATTGGGGGTGCTTCACCTACCTGCTTCCTATTTATTTACTTATTTACCTATTTACTTATTTTTGTTTCTGATGATTAATGCTCATGGCAACTTCTTCCTTCAAAACTTATTTTGTTGTTGCTTATTTATTTATTTATTTATTTTTGCTGTTGTTTTTTAATGAGAGCTTCTATCCCCAGGACCTTCAGCTCCAAAAGTAATTTGGTCTTGAGTCAACAGTATATTCATCCACAGGCAATGTTCTTTGGCTCATAGGAACTTGGACATGTTACCAACATGGATCCATTTTCATTTAAATTCTCGCTTGCATTTCCCGTACTTGAAGACAGGGTCCCCAGTCCTCACTGAGACCAGCCTGAGGCCAAGAATTCTTCGAGGCAACCTTTTTGTTCTTCACCCAAGAGCCAATAATGAGAAAGGCATGTTTCTTTGCATCTACTCTGCCTTTATAAATTTGATATTTGTTTTTTGTTTTCTTTTTCTCTGAGAGTTTGATCTCTGTGATTCCTGGCTCTATACAATGTTCTCTGCATTAACTTTCCCACACTTCCCAGGTCCAAAGATTGGTCCTGTTCCAAGAGGACAGAACTATGGAAATCAGACCTCTGCACTGCCTGGGGTTGCTGGTGCACACAAGCTGGCTGCTGCAGGGCTGATCTCCACCGTGCACTCCTGCTCAGGCTCGGTTCCAGCCCAGAGAGCCTTCTATGCTGGCTTAGGAAGTCAGCAACGCCTCTGTAATACTGCTTCATTTGTCTCATCTAGGATTTTTAGGCTTCTGGTAGTAAGAGGCTTTTAAGATGTCTAAGTTAATATATAATTAGAAATAGAAATATTAAGTGTTCGCTTTTTAATTTCTACAAGATTTAGTCCCTTCTCTTCAGTGAGCTCTCTGACAAGCAAATTAGCAGGACAGATAACAATGGCTAACAGAAGCATCACTGATCTCTATGCCCAGAAATACTGACTATACTATTGGAATTTTTCAAGAAAATAGTGTGAGACCAAAGAGAGGCAGAAGCCAATAGATGTCCTTTATCGCCCATGATGGTTTTACTTGTAGAATACGCCAAAAGGGTTCCCTAAAGAGCCATAGGAAGCATAGCAAATGAAGGAACTATGAATAAGGAATGATTGTGGCCTTGTGTTCGTACCTCACCAGTTTTCAAAGCTGTCTTTCATAGATAAAATGAAGCTTGAATGAATCAAAACGTTTCTTGGAAGTTTGCCAGATTTCACATGAAAGGGCTTTTATTTTACTCCACGGTAGGGAGAGGTCTTTCAGAATTTGCACAGAAGAAATTTAATTCCTATGGCTATATTTTGCAAGGAGGGCATGTGCCTGTGAAAATCTATCTTGTAGATTGCTAAGTAGATAAAAGATTAGTATAATAACTTTACACATAGTAACTGCTTATTAAACAATTGTAATATTTCCTTGTGTGAAAGTTCTGAGGTAGGAAACTTGTAATATTGTATAAGTTAAGCTCAGAGAAAGTTAATGTTCCTGAAAGACTATGAAAACAGATCCAAGAAGACTTGGCCTTGCTTCCCCATCCTGTAGATCCCCTCCCAAAGCACTGTGTAGCGCCACGGTTTCTCTTTACTTATGACCATCTAGATTGATAAACGTTAGTTTCTCAAGTCATGTGACTTGTAGCCATTTTTGCTTTAGCATGACACACAAAAGAATTCTTGTGAGGCATTAATGGATCACAAAGAAAGAAAATAAGAAAAAATCTTTGTCCTCAGAAAGCCTGTAGTAAACTGTGGTTACTCCTGAGAATCACCTGGAACATTTTCTAAACAACTCCATGGTTACATGCTTAGTTTATCTCCTCTTCATATATGGACACTGGATGTCTTGGGGCAGGAGTCAGACTATATTCCTTCCTTCTTCCTTAGAGCCACTCCCATATGTAGTAGCAATCAATTAAAATCAAGTTAAATTACACAATCTCCTTTAAAATCCAATTTTAGAGGCATTTTGTTATGTGAATCTTTAGTAGGAGTCACGGCTGTGGTGGACTCATTCCATTCCTATGCCAAGTGAATATCCCCATGTTATTGTTCCCAATATGAGCTATGGCATTTTCAAAAGCCATACTTCCAAGAGTGAAAAGAACTATACCAAAATTAAGAAGAAAATAGTTTTAAGAAAAAAACTATTACACAAGCTTATTTTGAAAATTTCTCATACAATACTGAAAGTGAGTGAACTTATCTTACCAATTTGAGGTAGCCCTCAGCATCTAGAATTAAGTTTTCTGGCTTCAGGTCTCTGTAGATAATACCTAGTCGGTGCAGGTAATCAAATGCTTCTGTCACACAAGCAACACAAAATTTGGAGGTGGGTTCATCAAAGCTGCCTCTGTAATGAAATCAGTTTCCCTCTTAATATCTTGGGTGCACATCTTTGGTGCTGTGGTAGGTATCACCTGTCCTACTAATACATTTATGCAATGTAAATGGTTTGCAGAGGATCAAGACTGAAATTGTTTTATGCCACCAGTGAACCAGGTTGTTTTCTGATTATAAAGGAATTCAGGGGATAACTTGATGTGAACCAGAATTATTTCACTAAAATTAAAATGTTGACATCCAAATACTTATTGGTCACATTTGAGCAATAAAATAGGAAAATAATAAAACAAAGCCTTTCTAAAGACATCTAAAGCAAACTGAAGAAATTGCAGCTATTTCAGTAGTAAGCTTGAACCAGACCTCTGTAGCTGTCACTTGACAAAATCATGGCTCATGAGATCATTTTTTAGTTTCTGCTTGTATGGTCTGTGGCAGCAGCCAGCAAAGAGGGGGGCCATATCTCTTTCCTTTTTGTGCCCTTTGATCTTTTATTAAAGGTGCCCTGAGCTAGCATGCATAGCTTTACACACTGAGTGTTTAAATTGTAGGGGTGATTTGTCCTGTGATAAAACTGAAGGGCATAGCCTTTAAGGGAGCAAAACTGGCTGAGATTCCTCCTTATTCCACTCACTGTACTCTTGGATGAGTTACGTAGCTACTGTAATCCTTAGGATCTATGCCTGTAAACTAGATACTAGGTGTGAATTGCTACTTATTTATAGGGTTATTATCAACACTAATCAGGTGCTTAACAGGCAGTGGGAACTCCCTTTTTAATATAGGCTTAGATCTTCTAAATACATTTGCTTAGCCAAGCAAAGATAGAAGAGGCTGCTGCTTCCTCAGCATCGCACGCCTGCTCACCTTTCCAGCTCGGCCCATTCCAACCCATCTGATCATATGCTCTTCGCTCAGCATTTCCACCTTCTGCTCAGAAGCTCAGTGCTCCTTTCCTGCCTGGCTCAGTGACTCTCAACAGGGAGAACATCTTTGAATTGCTTGAGAAGTATTAAAAATATTTTCTCCTCTGGCCTTAGGAACCAGCACTGTTACTCTTTAAAGCTTCCCATGTGACTGTCACATATACCCAGAGCTGAAGTACTGTCCCAGGGACTATGTCAAAGATGGCTAGTAGTAATACCACCATCCAGTGCCAACCTGCCTTCCCATTTCCACTGCTGTCCCCCTTATTCTCTTTGCAATGTCCCCTGTTCAACACCCACAGAGAGAACTCATCCTATGGCGACTTTCCTGGGTTGTCCTTGCCTGCCTCACTGCCTTTCTCATTTTTTTTCAACTTTTTCAGTTGAGTTCAAACTCTATCACTATTTCTCTCTCTCTCTCTTCTAATCTTGCTATCTATAGCACTCTTGTGCCATTTGATTACAAATTACCAATGTCTTTGTCTTAGTTTTTATATTAGTGGAAAAATTTTAAATCATATAGTTTTCACCAAATAAATGCTCAACTTGTTAGAAAAAATGTTTACATTGTCAGTCTGGTGGATACAAAAAATATATACACTGTAGAAAACCCCCATGCAGTCTACTATGAAGTCTCTTACAGAAGTGGTACATGGTGCATATCTGTGGTTTTGTTTGTGTGGAAACCACCCCTTTGGTAAAACTAAGCCTTTGTAAAAATCTTGGGCCACCAATCCACAAGACATCCCTTTTCCTTACAATTTAGAGTTTGAGTTTATACAGTGATTCTGCCTAGTACTAGCCATGTGACCCTGAATAATATAATGTTTGCAAACATGGGATTCTTTAATCTCTAAAATAAGGACAATGAAGACTACTTTATAGGATACATTTGCCACAAGTATAATGTGAGCTCATAAAATATCACTATTACTACTATATTTTATCAAGAGATAGCATATTTATTAAAATAATTTCCTTCATGCTCTTTGACCATAAATACAACTTCCTCTACACGAGCTGTGGGGAGACCAAAGCAGCTGCTTCTAGCTCCTCTTCATTACCTGTCCCTTAGTATGCTCCACAACTCCCCACCTAAGCAGGCTTCCAGAAGCATGTAGACATACTTATTATCCTTGAAAGTCCGATACAATCTGCAAAGACAGGTTAAAAACATGGTTATTATTTGGCATACAGTTTCAAAAATCTTTTGACATTCGCTTAAGAACATCACTTAGCATGACGGTCCTCATCGCCATACACATGTACTATAATTGAACTGGGCTTCTCGCCAAAAGTCCTGTCCTCTTTCCAACAGCCTTGTGTCTGCTTACATGCATCCCCTTCCTGAGGCTGCCCTCCCATTTCCCACAAACTGAACTTCTTCACCTGAGATTCGCTGTAACAGATTTATCCATTCTTCAAGGCTACCTTCTTAACAAAGTAGCCCATTCTCCCACCTACCTGCTGAATATGGCTCCTCATCCCCTCCATGAGCCACAGACCTCCACATGAGTTGCCTTCCACAGTAGTTACTCAGACTCATGCCTTATGTCCCCTGACTAGTTACCTGGTACTGGGGTCCCCTAAGACAGATTTTAAGCAGTAAGTCTAGTGGGGATGCACTTGCAAACAACATCAGAGAACAGAAATGGGCAGGGTAGAAAGACAGCTGAGCTAGGATCTGAGTTGCTTCACCAGAAGCCTCATCCTCAAGTTGTTCTGCTGCCTCGATAAGAGTGTCCCTGGAGGGGTGAGGTGGGAGGATGTCTCTGCTGACTCAGGCACAGTGCCAGAGGGGGGAGCAACAACCCTTAGCTGGCAACACTATCAGAAGCTAGAGAATGGGAGACTGAGTCCTGGGGTGGGGTCTGGGCAGGAGCTCATAGTCAACACTGGGCGCAGTTTACTCCTTAGTACCATACATAGGCTCAAGCTGACTGGAGAACAGCCAGATCTGCACAGGGAGAAGCAGTTCTAGGAACACAGTTTGGAGTGGGCCCCAGAACCACATGGCCCAGTCTCAAATTTCATATCAGACACTTAATATCATGCATCTCAGCTTACTCATTGAACATACATATTCATTTGATTGCACATTATGTATAAATTGAAGATAGGTATTTATTGAAAGTATATTCCTTTGATCCACCTACTAGACCAGTGGAATAAATCTGATGATTTTCCCCGCTCCCTCTCTGTATGTACCTCTCTGATGCATATCAACATCTCTGTCTAATAAATGCTGCCACTAATATTTATTATTATTATTTCCCTATGAATATGTCGCTTTACAAAGAGACAGAAATGCAAATATGAATACAACCTAATCCATAGCCTAAAGCTGCTCGTCATAGTTCATTAATGAATATTAATTCAAAAAAGGCATTCTGGGACCATCATTAAAGTAAAGATTGTTGGATGACTACTGCCAGCAGTAACTGAGCTCAGGCTTCATTTTGTACCCTGAAAGAAAAATATGTCTAAGGATAGGAGTAGGTAAGAGGTTCTTTCAAGGCATTGGATCATAAAGTAAAAATTCCTTTTATTATAGAGACACTGCATGTTAGCAAGAAATCACATCATGGGGCTTTATATACTAGCTTACAATACTAACCCACAAACTCAAAAATAAAGAGAGCTTTGGCTTAGAATAATCTTTGTGGTTTTCCTCCAAATTCTGGGTACAACTACAGAAAAAAAGAATATTTATTAGTTCCTTTGGTTCCTAAGCATTGCTAGGATCAAGGTATGTCTTCTCTTGCAGCCAACCTCAATCCAAGGGCTACTTCCTGCACAAGTTCAACAGCAGCACAGCCTCTGAGAGGCTTCTTGTGGATTTGGATTACTCCCAAAGCCTACATTAGGTTTGGATAAAATAATCACTTCAAATAATTCTGCAATTTTACACACACACACACACACACACACACACACACACATACACATTTGTAGGGGTTACTCAAGATGAGAAACAACGGGGAGCTCTAGGCTCAGATCTTCCTAGAGAATTCAGAAGAAGCCTCCCCTCTGCCCAGGAACATCCAAAGGACAAGCATGCAGCTCCAGTCTTTTGGGGCAAAAAGCTCACTTACTTCACAATGAACGGAGAGCACAGCTCCTCCAGGATCCTCTTCTCCGAGTAGATGTGCTCCTGTTGTTTGGTGTCCACTATGTGCTTCTTCCTTATGCATTTCATGGCAAAAGCAACATTCTCATTTTTTACCTTAACCTATGTAAGAAGCAGCAGGATACTCAAAATGAATTTACTAGGGAAGAGCTGCAATATCTACTTAAAACATTAGTTAATTACCGTTAAAGTTGTTTTACATTTAAATAGTATGTAAATTTTTGATCTCGTCACCCCCTAAAACTGAGTTCCATGTATGTGCACAAATTTTCCTTAAATCATAATTTCCAAGGCAGCTCAGATATGTGGATCTAAGGGGTTTCTGACTGAGACAAGAAAAAGTTCTGGCTAGAAACTTAATCATTAGATGTTTCTTCAGATTTGCTGGTGCAACATGAAAAATGCTGGGACTACTTATGATAACTTAATATTCACCTTTTTGGTTTTTCAAAGCAAAACGTATTAAATCAAGTTCTGCATCTGCATTATTCAGTAGGATAGCTACCAATCACTGAAGTTTGTTTGGTTGGTCGGTCATTTATGTATTTACTTAGTTATTGTGATGCTGTGGATTAAACTCAGAGTCATTTAAATTTTGATTGATTTCTCTTATGGTGACAAAAGCTTGCTACCTTTCTCAGAGTAGGCTCAAACGTGCTAATACTTTTGCTTCATAGTCCCTTAATATTGAGATTGCAGGCATCGAGCACCATGTCCAGCAAATTTTAAATTAATTAAAATTCAACATTCTGTCCCCAGTTGTCCTGGCTACATTTCCCACACCCAGTAGCCACAACCCGTTATGACTACCCAAGCACATAGCATAGATTTAGGACATGAGTGTGCACTGTCTATCAAACAATACTAGTCTAGAGGTGAAATCAAAAGTTTCCTAGAAAAGAAAGCTAAGATTTAAAAATAAATGTTTTGTTGTGGTAGGCTTAGACCTCCAGGCACAGGAACCAAAATAGGTGCACTGTGCATGGAGGTTTAAACCACTGGTAGAATTACTGCTTCAATCACTGTTGTCATTGAATAACAGATAAAGCACTGCTAATTCAGAATTTTTTTTTTTTTTGCTATGATCTTTGGTAAAAAGCCACTGTAAATGGACAATGCCCTTATCTTTCCATATAGCATAAGAAAATTGCAAGTATTCATTGACCTGTTAAGAAACCATTTTCCCACACCCATCAGAGATGGCTAGATGTGGAGTGTACTATCAGGGTCTCCAGCAGCACAGCAGCTCTGCTCATGCCTGGGGCCATCAGCAGACAGAGGCATCGCAGCACTCCTAGAGGTCAGTGCACACTGAATTGTTAAAAATCTGGTAGGCAAAGAAAGGCTTGTTAATTGCCAAGGGCTCTGAGCCATCTGCACCCAATAGGGTTACAGATTTCCCTTGCATAGTTTTCTCAAAATACTTGATCTGACTGCTGCTTTTCCTGATTATTAAGCACAGACAGGTGGTGATGTGGAAGCTCTGACAGAAATCAGCCTGGAAGTTTCCAGCTGCTGTGTTCAGGGCTGCAAAAGGCTGCTCTTCAAGTGGTTTTCTGCATCATGTTTTCCCCTTCTTTTCAGATGGAAAATTTTGAGCAATCCAAAAATAAGATGATGAAAGCCAAACACAGACGTGGTAGTGGAGACATTTAAGGACTGTAACCATAATATTCAGCATTCAGTTTCTAGACAATTTCTGCTGAAATATTCTTCTGTTCTTTAGTGTATAGAAAGTTACTTGTTGTTAGCATGTACATCTACATATACACATTTTGATTATCATAAATATAAGTTTGTTTTCCTTCATGTAGCCTTTGTAAATGCTCGCTTGCTACATGTTCTGAGAATTATGACTAAGAAAATAAATGTACCAAAGGACTTATGTAAGAAGTTTGAACTATCAGCCACTTCTAACAAGTTACTTACTAGGGCAGACCTGCTCCTACACTATACACATTGAAAAGTTTACTTTCTTGATTTCAGATCAAAATAATATTTAGGATAGCAATAATAATTCACATATTCCTCCAAGATCAGCTGGAACATAAAACAAACCAAAAAAAAAAAAAAAATAAAGTCAAAAGGCTTCTCTCAGATGCTTGAAACGTAAACCCCTTACAAGCTCAACTCTTCCGAACCCACCAACGCCCAGTGTTGCGATAATCTCAAGGTTCTGGAAGGGGGATGAGGAGGAAAATCTGGCGACCTTCTCCTTCAGCTGAATCATCTCCAGAGAGACGGCTTTGGACAGCTTCCAGTTAGACATGGACCGCCTGCACAAGAGAAGGGAAGTGTTACACACACGCCCAGGGTGGTACTCTCACAGGGGCCACTGCTTTCAGATTCTCCATTCTCGGGGATCTTACTTCTGCCTGCCACACTGGCTAGAGTTGCCTCAACAGCTGTATCAACTTTGATACTATAGGGCCAGATGCAGGCACATCTGGTGAGAAAAACAGCGGAATATACCATACACACCACAGAAAATAGTCAAAAGTAAATTAAAATATATCTCAGTGCATTATCTAATATACACCTTTAGAAAGGGAGGCGATGGAAAGTAAGCAGAGTCATTTCCATCACAGCACAAACCAGAAGGACCACACTGGGAACCTCTGCCAGCATTTGCTACTTTTATTTAGTTTTGGAGTTGTCCATAACTTACCCAGATTAACTGCTGTATAAAACATAAAAAGCATATTTCTTATTTTATGTTAATGTACTGTTTAGAAATATCTGCTTTTCTCTTTTAATTAAGGCATACTTCTCTGAGTTGTATATTTGTAAGCTGTGAGTGGGAAAGGCATTTGGCATAAATTGCAAATGCATTCTTTGCAAAAAAAAAATGTAATAGGTACTGGTCAGATGCACCAACTCAAATGTTACTCTTCTAGAAATTTTGATGATGCAGCTTTGATAGCACTATCTGGTGAACATGTGTTTACGCCCTCACTCAAAAATACTTTAAGGGCCAGGAGTGTAGCTCAGTGTAGAGCACTTGCCTAGCAGTGCAAGGCCCTGAGGGCAACCCCAAGGTGTATAAAAGATAAAGATACAAATTAAAACTTTTACCAAATAGGGGCTTCAGAGATAGCTCAGCAGTCTAAGCACCTGCCGGGCAAACTCAAGGACCGAGTTCGATCCCCACTACCACATGCTGTACAAGCTGAAGAGTGAAACACTACACCGAAAATTTTAGCCAATGATTTTCCCTTAAAATAGATTTTATGTTAAAGTACAGCTCTACACACACACACACACACACACGCACACACGCACACACGCACTCACGCACTCACGCACTCACGCACACATGCACATATACACCTGTCCCTAGGTGCTAGCTCCCTCACATTTTGAAAAATTCTCTTCATCAGCCTACTCTACTCAAGTATTAATGCACTTTTAGGCTAAGTTACCAATGTTTTCTCCCTAAGATTCCTGTTTATCACCCAAACTAAATTTGCTACTTATAATCTTAATAATCTGTGTTGTGGTGTTAAGTAGTGTCTTTTTGTGAAAAACTGTTACAAGTTTCTACAGGCAATCATAGCCCTGTAGATCCTCCTTGATCTGCTGCACTAAGTCAAATCTGTGTGGAAAATTATTCTCCCACTTACTTCGCATGTCTTTTTTCATCATCGCGGTTCAGGTTTGCCACATACCCCTCAAGGTATTTTTGGAGCTCTTCAAATGTCCCAACAGTTTGATTGAATGTTCTAAATAAAATAAAATTAAATTAAATAAGATGTTCTACATTGATAAGCACTAAGGCAACCTGACATTCTTCTTAAACTCATAAGTCACTACCCATATGGTTGCTAATGGGTTTGTACATTGTTTCTCAATAACTTATGGACAATAAAAGTTGCTGTAATATGTCATTACTGAAAGCCCTATCGTTGAACATTTGAGGAAAGGCAAAGGAAACTATTAGTAAGAAAACCTCGTCTGCAATCATCTGGCTCGCAGTTCTGGCTTACCAATAATTACTTGTTCTGTGTTAAGGACAGTGGAAAGAGTACACACGATCTGCCCACTGAATCAACAGGTTTGAGCGGTTATAGATTCTTCTGACATTGCTTAATTAAATTAAACTATTTATCTCGAAGATCAAAGATGAAATTTATTTCCTCTTTCTCTCTGAGCGCTCCCCACATTTCACATTCTTTTGTAATTAAATCCATTTTTTATCCTTAACATAGGAGTTCTTTTGGAGCCACAGTCAATATTTTCCATCACCCTCACTCACTCATCATAGATCATGGAGCTGCTGTGCGCCTGATCTAATCTAATCTCCCATCCCAGTCCATTGCCTGAGAATTTCTACACACTCCACGGCCCAGGAGAAAAATGAATACCATTCCTCCCCAGTGAAAAGATAATTACTTTGATTGTACTTCCCCATACGTTCTTCTAACAACCTTCCTTGATCTGTGCTTCAGTGTGCTTCTCTTCCTTACTGAAAAATAATGTTCTTGAAAGTATAGACCATGCTGTAACTATTTGGGCGCCATGTTTAAGCACCTGGGACATAGTCAAATGAAAAGAATCAGAATTTACCTCAAAAATACCCAAAGATAGTAAGCCAGTGCCACCTGGCTAATGCACCTTCCCAAGTCTCTGCCTCTACACCCCCGTGCCTGACAGCCTACCCATCTCTGCATTATTCTGCATGTATTGCACAGAAGGCAGAGCCTTTGGATTGTGCTCTGTACTCTTTCTTGTTCTCTCCTCTGGACAGACCTGTGTTGTCTGTACAGTAGTGACACATAAAACATTTTCAGGGAAATTCTAAGCTCCATAAGAGCTGAAATTTTCAAATAGAAAGGAAATATTACTTGCACTTTTTGTTGTATTTATTCCATCCTTCACCATTGCTCTGCTTGCTACTAAGCTAACTGAAGCATTGTTGTCAACAATCTTATTTTTTAATGTAAGTGACACTCGTATCACAGATCCCTAAGTACTGCATGACAACTAATCTTAAAGCCAAATTGCAATAGCTACAACATTCCAGCTGCAACTTTAAAACAGCCTGTGTTCATTCAGCTGCTAGAGCCCCAAGGGTAACTAATCAGCTCCTTTGAGACTTGTACAAACAATCTAACAAGGACGGATTTGTCACCAATGACAACCACTTACTGCTTGCTTAGAACCTTTACAACAATATTATGACACATATTCTATCAAATTTTTCAAAAAATAGAAAATACTAGCAAGGCTTGGTAATGCACACCAGTAATCCTAGCACAGGGAAGCTGAGGCAATAAGATTACCCTAAGTCTAAGACCAGCCTTGGCTACAAAGCAAGTTCAAGATTGAGATATGTAGTGAGACCCTGTTTCAAAAAAAAACAAAAAAGAAAAGAAAAAAACCTAAAGAAATATAACTCTAGCTTTCCTTCTTACAGCACAGTCATTTTAAAGACACTTCTACCCATTTAAACAACCAGTGGTACATGCATGACTGGCCCACTGGACAGTCTGAACCATCCCAGTGGTCAGCTAGTTAGCAACAGACATTGGAATCCAAATCACAGCCTCTAGGCAGCAAGGGATGCACATTATGCCCCACTGTGAATGTGTTAAGCACTTGCTAAAATCATAAGCTAGGAAAGAGGAGCTAAGAGCCTGCAGCTCTGCAGTCCCCACACTACACTGCAAGGACAGCAGCCTCTGCTGAGCCACCGTCAGGAAGTCCCTTCCCACATGTGGGTGCTCGCCCCAAGCAGCGGTGCGCGAGCCACATGTCTCTCCATTCTCAAAGCTTATGAGGAGAGGAGGAAGACAGATGCTAAACAGCACAACTAGAGTGACAATAATGGTGCAATCAGGGTATGCAGCATGCCACGGCAACATTTTTCAGGATTTTAATCTTGTCTAGTTTAAGTCGTAGCTTAGATGATCATGCCATTTATCATGCAGTCTGGAATGTTTTTTGGAGATGACAAGGATAAATATGCTTCCTAACAGTTCCAGGAAAGCCGGGATGTACATTAACTCAGACAAACCTACCCCTGCAGAATAAATCTATGAAAAATGTCAACCTGTTATTCTGATATAGATATAGATAGATATAGATATAGATAGAGATATAGATATAGATATAGATATAGATATAGATATAGATATAGATATAGATATAGATCCCATTTGAGAATTGCTATACAAAAATTCCCTTTATCTGACCATGTTTTGCACATTCCTAGTTTTATGCCTTTTCTTTCCAGTTTTACTTCAGGTAGAGGGATTTCATATATTCCCTTTACTTAAAAATTCCTATTGACTCTTTAAGCCCCATTTGCACACTTGAAAAACAAAATCAACCCTGAGTATTTGTCTGCACAGCGATTTCTGAGCAGTGGTTAGAAGCCGCCAAACACATATGAAGTCACGCAAAACTGAATTAATAAACCTGGGCAATAGACCCTACTCGATCACATATCTATGACCAAGATATTGTCCCCCAGGACAATTTAACTTCTTAAGGACTTGCTTTTCTTACTCCTATAGGAGAGAATTAAAACAGCTCTAAGTGATAGTAGGAATTATTGTGAATTTTTCATATATGTTAGTATTATTGTGGCCAGGTTTATAAATGATGCATGGCTTTCAGAGAAACTATAAAAATATATGCATGAAATTATTTCAGACTTGTAAGTTCATTGAAAAGTCAGTCAGAAGATGGCATGGAGTGGTGAGGGGGTATAGTTGAGACAGCAACTGGGAACTGTCGAACTTGTTGGTAGAAGTTCATGATGCCACGACCTCTATTTTTCAGGAGCTTAAATTTTCTGTGATAAGAGGACTTTAATGCTCTCCAGTTCTCCCCAGCTCTACATCTCTGTGAGTCTATGTTCAGTAAATGATACACTTAATTAGCTGTCCAGGACACACCACCGTGACACTTCTTTGCAACCTTACTATTTTTTCTATTTCATGAGTGTGCCTTGCTTACTTGACCACTTATACCATGTATTTCTTAGACAATAGCTTAGCTTTAGTACATTTGAGTTTCCTTTATTGTATCTCATAATCAATAAATTAGTGATTCACTACAAGTCTGATCTACGTAGTGAGACCCCGTAGACCCTGTAGATTCTGTACCAAATACATAAAAAATTAAATAAATAAGTGATTAATGAGAGCTAAAACAGGCCAGGTTAAAATAAGATTTGAAGTAAGTAAAAAACAGAAAATGAGACTTATGCTATAAAATAAGATTTTTGGGCATCGGTGTTGACATACATCATTTACAAATGTTAAGTCTTCTCTAAAAATATAAATAACTAATGAATATATTATACATTTAGAGAGCATTTGGTCAAAACATTTTTTGAGTGCTAAGGGCATTTTCTTCATTTTCTGAAGCAAATAATTTTCTCCAACAAATAAATGATGCAACTGCTCACTTTATTGCATGGGGGAAACCCAGAAGAGCATTAATAAGTATATTTCTCTGAAAGTTGTCAAATTTAAATCAATCTATTGGCAGTATTTATGTACAAACTCTGTACACAAAATATTTAGCCTGCCAGCATCTACCACTGCCACAGATTCAGATCAGAAGGCTCAGTTCCTCCTCATGAACTTTAACAGGATGTCCTGGCAACTGAGGATTGACTAGAGAGTCCAAGTGGTGATGAAGGAGCAAGCGGACCAGCCCTCGGAGCAACAGAAGGCCAAGTTCTCAAAGGCCGTGACAGCCCATCTTCCCCAACAACATCAAGATACTCACTCTCGATCGATAACCAGGCAGGCGACATCATTCTCTTCAGCAATTATGTTAGCAGACCTCACATCATCACTGTAGACAAAAAAGTCAGCTTTTACTGCGATTAGAAATTAAACACCCATTTTTACTTGAGAATCAACTACTGTATACAAAAGCAGAACCCTCATTTAAACTTTCTGAAGACTGCACCTCTTGGTAACATCATAACTTAAACTCAACCCTTTTTCAAAATTATAGGAAAGAAAAACAGATCCAAAACGTGTGCCAGTAGATACTATGTACACAAGGAATGCAGAGAAAACTGAACTGGAAACACAAGGATCACTGATTACAGTGGTGTATGCAGTCTCTTTTTGAGCTCTGTGACAGAGAAAAGTAGCTCTATCCTGATCAAAGCAAAATCATTAATTAATAAGGACGCAACATATTAATGAACTGATCAGAGAAATTGAGAAGGTAAACAGTCAAGAAACTAACCTATGATAAGTTGGTCAAAAATATGGGCCAGAGGAAGTGTTCTCAATGCCATATCACCCAATCAGTTAAACATGAAAATATTTTTATTTCATAGCATGTAAAAATGTGCATTTTTCCATTAAACTTGCTGCAATCAGTGAATGAATTATGAGTTGGAGTGAAATTATGAGCACTGATTTTCTTAAGGGTAAATATTATAGTGGTATATCTTAAAACGCATATTTTGGATATGATGAATTATTATATGGTATATGATCTAATGATACATTTAATTTCCTAGTGAATATCAAATAAAGCACTTATTTAAAAAACTGAACTTATGGTAGTTTCCCCATCTCTATGAGTTATAAATTAAAGACACTGAAAAAAAATACACTCTTATGGCTGCCAGTGCTCACACATCCATGTAAGGTAACCTAGGAGTAGTGGAAACAAGTACATCAGTAAGCAATGAGACTGTCTTGGCTAACTTTATCAAAAACGGCACTACCCAAACTAAGGTGTCTTCCCTTTTCCTTCACAGTAGCTAGGACAGAAAGCACTATAGCATCTGTCTCTACTAT